TTCTGCATAAATAGGTTGGGCAAAAGCGGGCAAGAATGTCTATAAATTTGGAAGAAGATGAGCAACCAAAGAAGAAAGTTCGTTTAGGTAGTCCTGCTACCCAGTGGATTTCAGTGTATAATGCACGTCGTCCAATGAAGCAAAGGTGAAATATACATTTCCTTAATTTGATTTCCCATAATGTGTGATTGTGCAGTGAAATTTTCCTACATTTGCTATGTTTTCTCATTTTCATATAAACATATTTTATTTCCATACAGAAACATTTATAAAAGGTGTCAGCAGTTGAAGTATTTTAAATGTTTGGTTTTCATTGAAAGGTTGTTATACATTTTTAATTCTTCTTTGTCAGTATCAAAAGCAAGTATGTAATTTTGGCATAATTCTTTATCTTGTCCGCTATTTGTGCTTTAGCAAATTAGCTAACTTATGAAGGATGGCAATTGCATTCCTTTTTTCGGCCCATGTGTTGATGTTCTTTTATTAGACATCTTAAATATCACTTAATTAACCTTTTTCTGAAATTTGATATAAAGTAGATGTAATGCTGTATACCAAAATAGGAAAGCTTGTTGCTTCTAAAAAAATAAAAATAAAAAACTTTATTTGTTCCTAAGGTGGAATCATAATTAAACTACTAATAATTTCTAAAGTGAAGATAAAAGATGAGATTTTAAACCTTCTATTAGTTTTAAGCTCGTGACCCTAAAATATTATTTTCATCTTTTACTTAATATTGAGATCTTCTGATATTTATTTGGTATCTTTTGTATCTCATTCTAGTGGTTCTTCAAATAGGTTTATTATGTCTTCTCACCTATTCAAGTTTTTAATAAATTAAATGGGTATACTACACTGTGTTTGTAGTCAGAGGATAAACTACACTTTACCCCCTCAACTTTTGTCACAATTCATATCTGGTCCCTGTATTTTAAGTTAAAACAATGACAACACAGGGGACAAAATGGAAAAAATATCAGATAATTAGGTGTAAAGTGTAGTTTGAGATAAAATGCATAGTGATATATTATGGACTTCTCATAAATGATATTAAATGGTTCTGATTCTGACCTTGAAACACTTGATAATGATGCTCCTGATGTGTGTTTCTGTAAGAAATACCGAATGAATAGTGGCTCTACCAATTTGAGGTGATGATGAACCTAAGTTCTTATTTATGGTATATTTTCCCACAAACCCATGTGTTATGTGCATGGTAATCGTTTTCTTGCATGGTGGTTTTTCTTCTCCTTTCTCTTCGTAAGGAAACCAAGGGACATGGTCTAGGCTCAAACCTAGGATGGCCTCTGTAGGGCAGTGGCTTCACCACTTAGGTGTTCCCACTGGACTTTTCTTGCATTGTATTAAGTAAGCCTCTTGCTGGACATGTAGATATCACTACAATGTGGCGGACACAAGGCTGAGCCAGCATGTTGACAAGGGTAATGAAGATGGATTATTTATCAGCTCTGTAGCGTCTGCAGCAAATCTGTGGGCCCTAATCATGGATGCAGGGACAGGTTTCTCTTCCCAGGTTTATGAGCTGTCAACTGTCTTCCTACATAAGGTTAGCATATGAAACAAGTGTATTCTGTCATCCTTCCGTAAGTAATATACTTCTTGAAATATTGATTATCTTGATTAATTCATTTGGGACAGGATTGGATCATGGAACAGTGGGAAAAGAATTTCTATATTAGTTCAATAGCTGGTGCCGCTAATGGGAGTTCCTTGGTGGTTATGTCCAAAGGTTTGCATTTATTTGTACCATTAAATAAAAAAATAAAAAAATATACTGTTAGTTTTGTATAAATGTGTGTTGTGTGCATCTTCACCTCTTTTTCTTTCATATATTCTGTGGTACTAGTAAACGGTGAAATATGATTATCTTCTTATTTTGCCAAATCCATAGTCACTTGTTTCTCTGAGTTGTCTTCAACTGGTTCTATACAAGGGTTGTGATTGAATCTAGTTTTCTTCTCATATTCAGTTTTTATTCATGCAGCATTCTCAATCTAGGATGCCCTTTTGCAAGTTACCTAGTTCATTTTTCTTTTTATTCTAGCAACATTCTTGTTCCAGGATGCCTCTTTGAATTCTGTTGTTTGAAGTTTCTCCCAAGAGACGTGAACAGCTTTCTTTTCGCACCACTGCACACTCCCAGTTATCCTCCACTTGCGTTTTTCTTCCTCCTACCATCGTGTTTATGTTCTTTATCTTCCATGCTTCCCATATTTCTTCTTGCTTGGATGGCCTCTGCACCATGCTCAACTCCTCTGCAGTTCATTATTCTCTTTGGAACATCCTTGCTGATAAAATCTCCTATTGATATTGTGATTCCGAATACTTTTCCTTCCACCAAACATTAGCTTTGATTGATTTTCGTCCATTAGATCTCACCCCAAAAAGTTCTTTTCATGGGGCAATGTAATAATATTCCTTACAAAACCATTTCCCCATTGTTGAAGAAGCTCAAGAACATACCAACGGGGTTTTAGTCAAGTGGTCAGGGCTGTGCAAAAGTCATGATAAAGTACAATAAATAGGGTTTGGCAATGCAAAAGTCGTGTTAAAGTACCATAAACAGAGTTGCATCATGAAGCTCGGTGTTTTTAACTAAAGGTCACAGAAAGAATAAAATTTTTGAAAATTAAATGCTGAAGAACTTTACAAATTAAATTTTAATAGTCCTTATTGGAATGTGTGTTTTTTTTCCACGTTATAAGTGCCTTTGTGGATGCACTTTGTTCATCTTCATTTTTTGCTGGTGAATGAAACTCTAATTTTATGAGACTGTTCTTTTTGCTGCATATTTCTCTTTACTAGACCACTGTCCTAAGCCATGATTTATACTCTATCGTATTGCATATAGGTACTCCTTACACTCAGCAGTCATATAAAGTGAGTGAATCTTTTCCATTCAAGTGGATAAATAAGAAGTGGAAAGAAGGTTTCCATGTGACATCCATGACAACCGCTGGCATTCGCTGGGGTGTCGTTATGTCCAGGAATGCTGGATATTCTGATCAGGTATATTATTTACTCACATTCAAGTCTGTCAAATTTTTGAATTTGTAAATTTTGTTCACCTTTCTTGTTTTCAAGATAGCTCATTTTCCCCATCTTTCATTTGATTTGAAAATACAAGGTCGTGGAGCTTGATTTCTTATACCCGAGTGAAGGTATACACAGGCGATGGGAAAGTGGTTACAGAATAACATCCATGGCTGCCACTACTGATCAAGCAGCCTTCATTTTGAGCATTCCTAAACGAAAATTGGTGGATGAAACTCAAGAAACTCTGCGTACCTCTGCCTTCCCAAGCAGCCATGTAAAGGTAAGATACAAAACATTGGTGTGCAATGAGCATCATGATCTTGTGCTAATTTTCTTTATTTCTTTATAACACGGAGTTCAAATATCTGGGTTCTGAAAGTTCAGTTGCATAGCACCATAGATGAGGTATTCATGCCTTGTTTTTGTTCATTTTCATCAATCTCAAGATAATGAATCATCTTTGATGTTTGGTTTTTTGCAGGAAAAATGGTCCAAAAATCTCTATATTGCATCAATTTGCTATGGACGGACTGTTTGCTAATTTGTGTGTGTATATGTGGTTTATACCTGAAAAATGCTATTCAAATTTTTGAGAGCGTTTTACAGTTGATCTTTGAGTAGCTGGATAATCTTTTCACTGCAAGTTAAGAGGGAAAAAAAATCCATCCATCTCATGAAATTTGTTCCTAGTTTATGAATGTAAAAAGTAACATAGATGAATGATACAATTGATTTTGGGAAAACATGTGCCCTCGACCAACCTAAGATACTAAGCAGCAGTTTGTCAAAAGCACATAACAAAATTCACCTAGCCATGGCCGCTAAGTTGATTGCTTATTAACTGCAAATCGTTCTCTGAATTAAACCTTGCCATGGAAGAAGGTGTTTTCTGTTCGAATGTTGCGGTACAAAAACACTTTATTTAGGAAATTTACTGAAATTGTTTTTGTTTTCTCGAAAACATAAAAAATAGTTGACACCAATTGGGTTTGGAAACTGGTAGGATTTTTCAGAAACTGTTTGATAATTGGTAGTCTTCTTAGAAAAGTAAAAGAAAATAGGAATCTGATTATGAAAATGTAAAGAATCAGTCATTCAACTGTGCAAGAACTAAAAAGTTGAGTCAAAGAAAAGTGGTGGTGAGTCCAAAGAATAAGAATATAGGGCCCGTGTGTGTACAGCGTCGGTTAGGGAATACAATACATTTCTTAGCTAAATTTCAACTAGAATTTTCATGATTTTTGTCTACCCACTCCAATATAAAGCAAATATTGACTTGACTTAGTGCTTGAATTATGACAAAAAGAAAGGACTTAGTGCTTGAATAATGATTCATACAAAAGATGTGCTCAAAACAAATTATACCTACCGAGTGCAGTGTTGAATGTTTGATATGGGGTTCCATCAACAAGAAAAAGATAAGGCCTTCACATCACAATGGAGTCTCTAAGCTGGTGGTGATACTGTTACTCATGATAAAATCAAAAATGCTGAATGATCTACAAACGGCCCGCTCGGTAACCATTTCATTTTCATTTTGCCTTTTAGAGATAAAAGTAGAACATACGGTAGAAATGAGAAATGAAGAAGGGTGGAGGAATGTGTTTAAAGCATTTTAATGTTGAGAAATGTGGCAAGACGTACCCTGATATGCCTGTCATTGACTACAAAACTTGGGTATGATCTTCATTGACTAGCTTAATTAGAACCTAGGACCAGACGCATTGGTCTTTCTCATAGTTTTTCTATTGACAAATTTGCATGATTTAATTGATAGTGTTTCAAACCAATGTACACAAAATCTTTAGGTAATTGATTTAGCCTCAAAAGTCATGATAAAAGGACACAGATTTGTTTGACCACGACTCTCAAGAGCTTATAGAAAAATATCTAGTTTGTGAGTTTCTACCATCAACACTTTCATGATCCATCTATAAGTATCTCAAGTTGCTTAATTAAGTAGCAAAGCAATATGGCCTGCCTGATGAGCCTACCTTTTGCTGCATACTTGATCTTCTTCTTCACCTTAAACCTCATGCCTATGCCTTGTTTTTCTTGTCCCCAAGAACACAAAGAAGCTCTACTAGAATTCAAAACTTCATTAACTGAAAACTTATTAGCGGCAAACTCTACCGATGAAGCAATGGTAACCGAGTTATTGGAGTCATGGAATTCCAGTTCAGATTGTTGTCAATGGAACCTGGTCACTTGCCATTCCCATGCAGCATCAGCTTCAAAACATATCACTGGCCTTGACATTTCCTATCTGGTCCTCAATGGAAGTGTGCCTTCAGATGTCCTGGCGCCACTCTTCCGAATAACAACGCTCATGCTGCTCAACATCGCTTCCAATTCGATGCAAGGGGAGATCCCAGGAGCTGGTTTTGCCAATTTGACCAAGCTAGTATATCTTGACATGAGGGAGAATCGATTCAATGGTTCAATACCTCCTCAGCTGTTTCAGTTAAGGTACCTAGAGTACCTTGATTTAAGTGGTAATTTGATCCAAGGAACATTGAGTAGCAAAATAGCCGGCCTAAAGAATTTGAAGCAATTGAACTTGGATGAGAATTTCATCCAAGGAGAGATCCCTGCAGAGGTCGGAAACCTTATTGAATTGCGTAAGCTGTCACTTCGACGGAACAAGATATCAGGAAGGATACCATTGTCTGTGGTGTCTCAGTTGAGGGAGTTGCAAGTATTGGACTTGCAGGATAATTCTCTCTCCATGGAGATTCCAGCAGAGATTGGCAACTTGGTGAACATTTCAACACTTTCATTGAGCAACAACAATTTGAGTGGTGGAATTCCACAATCAATACAAAAGATGAGAAAGCTGGAAACACTTGGGCTGGGCAAGAATATTCTCAATGGTGATATCCCAGCATGGCTATTTGAACTCAAGGGGTTGAAGAATTTGCATCTTGGAGGAAATAACCTAAGGTGGAATAACACTAATGTCACCATAGCTCCAAAATGCATGTTATCTCAATTATCCTTGAGATCCTGTGATGTTAGAGGTCCGATTCCGATTTGGCTTTCCAATCAAACAAGGCTTGATCTCTTGGACTTGAGTGAAAACCGGCTCGAAGGAGCATTTCCATTGTGGCTAGCTAAACTACAGGTTGGGATCCTATTTTTATCAGACAACAAGCTCACAGGTTCCTTGCCGCCACTTTTGTTTCAAACTCCAAGTTTACAAGTCCTTAAATTGTCAAGAAACAACTTTTCGGGAAAATTGCCGGAAGATATGGGTGAGAAGTGTGCAGTCATGATACTCATGCTGTCTGAAAACAATTTTTCAGGGCCAGTGCCAAAATCCATCGCAAACATATACCGACTACTTTTGCTCGACTTGTCAAGGAACAACTTCTCGGGTGAGCTTCCAATCTTTAAACCTGATGCACTTCTAGCGTTCGTTGATATTTCGTCAAACAAATTATCAGGTAAGGTTCCTGCCACTTTTGGACTGAACACTACAATGCTCTCACTAGGCCAAAATGAGTTCTCTGGTCAGTTGCCTAAAAACTTGTCCAATCTAAGCCAGCTTGAGCACCTTGACTTGCATGACAACAACATCACTGGAGACTTTCCAACATTTCTCAATAAAATATCTTCTCTTCAAGTACTCAATCTACGAAACAATTCCATAAGAGGATCGATCTCCGGTGATCTGTCAAATCTCCGCAGTCTCCGGATCCTGGATCTGTCTAACAACTTGCTTAGTGGAAAAATTCCTCCAAGTGTTGGAAATCTTATTGCAATGATTGAGACTCCAGACATCCCATCAAATTTGCCTGATGAAATCTTCTCCTTCTTAGTTGAATACGACCTGATAGTAAATTGGAAGAAGTCAAAGCAAGGCCTATCTAGCCACAATCTTGACATCTACTCCCTTATAGACCTGTCAAAGAATCAATTTTCAGGCAACATTCCATCCTCTTTGGGTAGGCTGAAAGGCTTGAAGCTACTTAACATTTCTTCCAATGAACTTTCTGGGAGCATCCCATTGGCATTTGGTGATTTGAAGAGTTTAGAGACCTTGGATTTGTCTCACAATAATCTGTCAGGTCAAATACCAGAGACATTTGCAAAGCTTCAAGAACTGAACACTCTAGACTTGAGCAACAACGAACTTGTTGGTCATATTCCTGAGAGTCCCCAAATGGATACACTGATTGATCCAAACATATATGCTAACAACAGCGGATTGTGCGGGGTTCAAATTCAGTTGCATTGCCCCGAAGAGCACCCACCATCTGCCAAAACAGATGAGAGTGATGAGAAGAACGATACATGGTGGTTTTCATGGGCAACTGCAGGGATTGGATTCCCTTTTGGATTTTTTTCTGTTGTGGCCTCAATGTACGTTGTTGGTTATTTTAGTACTGTTGCAACCAGAACAAGAAGGGGCTCTCAATGTGTTTGGCAGAGGTAACAATGTGTGTGCTCTTGAGAACCATCACAAGAATAGACACAACAACCCTTTGAAGAAGGAAACAAGAACATCTACTACAAATAATGTTTGTATTTCTGCTGATCTTATATTCATCATATATATTTTGAAGTTTAGTAATAAAAAATATTAAGGAATGATGTTAATTGGATCCTCTCTCTGTCTCTCTGTCTCTGTCTGTCTCTCTCTCTCATTCCCTGCCTTTAGAAAACATATATAGAGATGGTGGCAGTTGCGCAGAGTTAGGGAGTATCATTTGGCCGGGCTGAAGTGGGTAGCCCGAGGCCCGATTTATCAAAGCACAGTCTGACTTGATAGTTTGACCCACTGGCCCGGTCCATTCTAAGTTTTGATAGAGTTTGGGCTTAGGATTTGAAACCTTTGGTCAAAGTAGGCCTGCCCATTCACTCTTTTTTGTTTTGTTTTTTTTTTGGGTTTTGCCTTATATTGCATTCTTTCCACTATTATACCAAATATAGGGGCTCAAATTATTAAAAAAATTCTATATGAAATAGATTTTAGAAACACACCCAAAGCCCATTTACACCATAAACTAAATTACCATTTATGTATCATCGATCAAATATTCATTGTTAAGCAAAACTTGAATTAAATAACAGGGTAGTACTGACTAAATGGGGTGGAAAAAAAGTTCATCCCATGAAAGTTGGGACCTAATAAAAATACTAGAGAAAGCAAGAAAACACAATTTTTTTTTTAATAAGACGAGTTTGTTATGTATTTATACAAATGATATTGGGAGAAAGAAAATTCCAACAAAGCACCTCGGATTGTACGGAAGTAAGATTATAATAACAGAAGAACACGGTTAGAAAAGACGGGGAAGGAAGCAGACACAACCTTTCTCATCAAGTGGGTGCAAGACAGCAAATTCAATTTGGACATGTAGTAGTTTGGTTAGTTTGGACACATTTTTTGTTGGCATGTCCATGAAATCAAAACTTGTATTTCTGAGTTCTCATCCTCGACTAAAACTGTCAGCAAACGTTAAAGTAGAGGTCTTTTCTTTCGTTTGTGCATCTATGAAATTTTTTTTTTCCAAACGATGAAAGAATATTATTAAAGACGAATAGTAAGGTTTACATCACTAGCAAGAATATCAAAAATCCACTCAGGCCATAAATCATCCCAAGTATGGATTCCGCCAACTCTAGACACAAAGGCCGCAATTTTATGCGCTGCCTTGTTACAATGACGAGGGGTATACAAGAAAACACAATGCTGAAATTGCCCCACCAACTGCTTTATGTCAAAGATAATGGCGTCCACAGCCATGTCAATCTTCCACTCCCCACAAAGCATACAAATAATTTGTAAAGAATCAGATTCAACCTCTAACTTAGACAAACCACCCTGGACACATGCCATCATTGCTTCTCGAATGGCTTCAGCCTCCATCGCCAACGCTGATCCACCCCGCATGTTACCCTTGCCTCCTGCTTGAATCATCCATCCATATGGATCACGCACCACCCATCCTACACCTCCATTTATGTCTGAGACACCCAAGCTGCATCGCAGTTAACTTTGAGCATCCCATACGGCGGTTTTCGCCAAGAAGTCCCCGGCTCCGATTGAATTTTAGGTGGACGAGGTAATTCGTTGATGAGTGGCTTCACATGCTCTTGAGCCGTTCTAAATTCCTGGACTTGAATTTGAAAGCACTCCACAGCCTTACGGGGGTCAATCACCGTTCCTTGAAATACCGCCTCATTCCTGATTTTCAAAATCCTCCATAACCCAAATGCACATACCTGCAAAATATCCTTATAATGTTCCACCTGCTCATATTTCTTGAGCAGATTTTCCCAGCAGCTTATAAAATCCTCCCCCAGAATTTGGCATGGATCCAGTTGTATAGGAGAAGCAAACCACAGCAATCGTGCAAACTCACAGTTAAAAAATAAATGTACCTGGGATTCCCCTTCCCGCCCGCACAAGGCACATGTATTATCAACATCAATTCCCCGATGCAATAAATTTTCCTTTACCGCTAGAACATTACGGCAACACTTCCAAAGAAAAGTTCGAATTTTAGGAGGCACCTGCAGTCCCCAAATACTTTTCCATATATGTCGTTGTTTATTCCCTTGACTACTTTCTCCTTCTGCTTTTCTGCCCAGCTCTCCATTCCGCCGTAAAGTGAGTGCCACTTCATAACCCGATCTAACAGTATAGGCCCCATGAGAAGTGTAATGCCAAACCTTCTTATCTAGACACCCCCATCGGCTAATGGGTATGGTGGAAATACACTTTGCTTCAAGGGGATCAAAACAGCGATTCACTAGCTCCATATCCCAGCATCTAATATTCTGATCAATGAGCTCAGACACCATCAGCGGCATGTTAGGATGTCGGGAGTGAACCATAGAAGTAGATGATGTGGGCAACCAGCGGTCCTGATAAATGCGAACACTCTCCCCATTTCCTATATGCCAATGAAGCCCAGCCTCTAAAATCCTACGGCCATGAAGATGCCTTTCCAACCCCACGAAACCTTCCGTCCACACACAGCATGCATGAAATTAGAATGAAAATAATATTTCTCATGTAGGAGCCTGGCAAGCAAGGACTCCGGGTTTCGAAGTATCTGCCAGCCAATCTTCGCCAGCATCGCAAGATTAAAGCAGAGAAGGTCTTGAAAACCCATCCCCCTTGCCTTCTTAAAATGACATAATCTCTGCCAACTTACCCAATGAATCCCTTTACGATCCTTCTGCCCCTTCCACTAATAATTAGCAATGTCCCGTTCAATCTCCTTGCACAAACTGACCGGAAGTTTAAAACATGAAATAGAGTAATTTGGCATAGCCATAGCCACCAACTTAATCAGTACCTCTTTTCCAGCAGGAGATAAATATTGCTCAGCCCATCCCATAAGTTTAGAAGCAATCCTTTGACGCACCATTTCAAACACCACTCGCTTAGAAGCCCCAAAATCTGCATTTAAGCCTAGGTATTTTCCAAAATCTTCACTCTGCCGTACCCCCAAAATATGTGCCAGTTGATTTTTCAATCTTACTGGGCATCTCTTTCCAAAGAAGATAGAGCTCTTGTCAAAATTAATGCACTGACCATAACCCATCGCATAGCAATCCAAAATTTGCTTTAAACAATTAACCTCTCGTTCTTCAGTGTGACAGAAAATAACAGAGTCATCTGCAAAAAATAAATGCGAAATACTGAGCCCTTGGGGCCGGAGCTAAAATCCATGAAGGGTTCCCCTTTCTTCCTGACGATGAAGTAGAGCCAACAATCCTTCCGCATAAATTAAAAATAAAAAGGGGAATAATGGATCCCCTTGCCAGAGGCCCCTGGAAGGTGAAATCAACCGTGACGCCTCCCCGTTAATCAATATGCTATACGTCACTGTGGAAATACACTCCATAATCCACTGACAAAAGGTAGGATTAAAACCCAGTTGTCGCATCATTGCTTCAAGAAAAATCCATTCTACCCGATCATAGGCCTTGGCCATATCTAATTTGAGGGCCAAGCCAGATCCCCCGTCACGCCTCTCAGATTTCAAAGAATGCAGAATCTCATGCACAATAAGAATATTGTCTGTTATTAACCGGTCCTCCACAAAAGCCGATTGGTTGATACTCACCACAGTCGGTAAAACCTTCTTCAGGCGTAGCGTTAAAATCTTCGAAATAATCTTATATACAATGTTGCAAAGAGCAATAGGCCTCCATTGTGTCATCTTTCTCGGATTGCCAACTTTTGGGATCAAAACTATATGAGTGTGGTTGAGTTTTTTGTGTAAACGCCCCGAATGAAAGAAACTTTTCACCATTCCATCAATATCAGTTCCAATAACAGCCCATAATTGATGAAAAAAACTCCCAGTATAACCATCTGGGCCAGAGGATTTAGTGGGAGGTAAAGATTGCACAGCAAACCAGATTTCCTCAGTAGTCACCTCCTGTAACAAAACTTCATTATGTTGCGCCGTGACCTTTCGAGGAACACACCCAGTAATTTCAGCGATGTTAGAAGGGTTGCACGAAGTAAAAATATTCTCAAAGTATGCAATTGCAATTTGATGAATATCCAATGGGCTATCACGCCAGTGCCCGTGGGTGTCTTCTAGACCTATTATCCTGTTGGCCCTTCTTCTAGTTACCATTTTAGAATGAAATTTTTTTGAATTTTTATCACCTTCATTGAGCCAATGTACCTGTGATTTTAGTTTCCAGTAGACCTCTTCCTCATGAAGAGCCTCTTTAAGTTTATTTTCCATAAGCCGGATCGTCTCTAAGTGAAGGTATGGTGCAAGATATGCCTGACACAAATCCTTCCGTAACATCTCAATATTAGCCTTCGAACTTCGCCATTCACTCCGCCTCCAATCCAGCAAACCCCGCCGTACCCACCGTAATTTTTCCGTCACTTGTTCCCCTCGGGATCCCTTAAAACGTCGTGCCCACCTTTGCTTCACCACCCCCCGACATCCCTCCGCTTCTCCCCACCGAGGATCATAAATAAAGCGTTTACGCCATTTACTAGTGGGAACCTGAGTATGGAGCAAAAGAATAAAGTGGTCAGAACCCACCACCACCAGATGATGTAGTGTCGCACCCGGGAACATAGCAACCCACTGGTCTGTGGCTAAACCTCTGTCTAAGCGCTCAGATATTGCGCCATCCTGCCGCCGGTTACGCCAAATAAAAGGTTGCCCCACAAAGCCTAAATCCATCAAGTGAGTATTGGCAACAAAACTACGAAAGTCCTGCAGACTTCGCTCAGAACGAGAGAGCCCACCTAGCTTTTCTGTTACATCCAAAATATCATTGAAGTCTCCCATTAAGAGACAGGCATCATTACTACATTGCACCATACCCTGGAGTACTTGCCATTGGGACCGTCTGATACGATCATCTGTGCTCGCATAAATAGCAAAGAGACGCCATATACCTCCTGAGATGTCATCTTTTATAACTGCTTCAATGAAAAAATTAGCATACTTACACAAGACCACCTGTTCCATGTCTTTCCAAAACAAAGTAAGTCCCCCACTCAGATCACGTGGTTCCACTGGGTGCATGTAGGACATTCCTAACTGTCGTTTGAGATATCCATAGCGAGTACTTCTATTTTTAGTTTCTAGAAGCACCACTATGTCAGGAGTTTGGAGCCTCACCTGCTCCTTGAGACTTGAAACTGTCAGAGCACTCCCAATACCCAGCAGTTCCAAACAATAAGCCTCCCAATGCCCTGGGAGACCCATTAAGGCTGGTCTCCTCCACCTGTTCCAAATGATTAGTAACAATAAAACTCTGATTTGGGTTAACTCCCTCTCCACCTCCATCATCTAAGGTCAAAGAAATCCTTCTACGGATTCTTTTATCTACCATGATCTCCTCTAACTCATTGCGTCCCCTTTTGCCACGAAACTGCCCACCATGTACCGCACGTCGTTGCATGTTGCAGATAAGGGGTCCAAGGTTAAAAGGATCTGAGTCTTGGGTTAGCGGTCCTTGTGATACCACTTCCTCCAGCATAGCTGCTTGAGGACATTCCCCGTCAGTGTTCACCTGCCCACCTCCTTCCAAGTCATTGTGCAGTGGTGTAGTTATAGCATTTAAATCAATAGCCCGCCCATCTTCTTCAGAGCATCGAAATGCCTCTCCTAGTATGGAACTATTGGAAGGTCCAGCATGCATCTAGGTATCCCGAATATTCTCCCTTTGCTGCCCACTAGCCTCGTGCCCCAACAGTCCCAGTTCCCACGCCGCTTCCTGCATCTGCCGAAGCCGTGCCTCATCTTCTCTCTCTGCTATAATCTTTTCCATTAAGGAGAACCCGAGTGGTGTAGATTGACCTGGTAAAGAACTAGAATCTACTGAATCCCCCCTGTCCAGACCTCCAATTATCCCTATTACCGCGCTGCCCCTCGCCGTTATCACTTGGCTGTTGATGAGGAAGGTGTCTCCGCCAACAGGAGCTACTGCCTGCCTTCTTCAATAAGGGGTCAGAGGCTAAAATTTTAGAAGATTTTCGCCCAGTCATACGTAGTAGGCGCCCCTTAAGATCCTCACTCGCATCTAAGCCAGCGAAGGCCAACAATCTCTCTTGTATTGTTTCGGGAGCATCATGCATGACAACCAACTTCTCCACGCAGCTTCTACTCGGATGCCCCATACAACCACATATGAGACAATACTCAGGAAGAAATTCATACTTAAAAGTCACCAACTTAGAGCCTTCATCAGGGAAATCAACAAAGGACCCTCGCATAAGGGGCTGCTCCACTGCCAAACGGATCCGAACCCGTAAAAAGCGTCCAATACACTCCTCTCCTTCTACTTGATCCACTTCCATTACGTGCCCTAATAAGAACCCAATCTTCTTAGCCACTGCAGTCGTCATGTTTAGTAGCGGAACACCATGGATTTGGACCCAAAACACTGCTGTCGTCAGGTCTACCATACGCGCATCAGTTCCAGGCCGGGTCTCCACCAACAAAACCAAATGATCCCTGTAAGTCCATAGTTCCATATCCAGGACCCGCAACTTGTCTCTCAGATTCATAAACCTAATCAAGAATGTACGAAGGCCGATCTCCTTGATAGAAACATCATCCACACCCCTCCAAAGTCGAGTAAATACCTCAATAAAACATTCCCTATGGACTGCCTTATGAGTAAAAACCTTAGCCACCAGGGTAAACTGCGACCCCTTTAACACATCAATACTCTCTCCCTCCTCGATTCGAAGTCCTCCACGTTCCTTGTCAGACAAGCGCAGATGCGAGCCAAACCGCTTCTGCAACTCATCCATCAAGCGCAACTCATCCATCAAGCGAAACTCGATTTAGGAGCCGTATTGCACAAGAAAAGTTCCCACCTCATACGTCTGGTTCGTAACTGTCTCGAGCCGTTACTCTCCCACACGTTCGATCTCAGAGCAGCCACAAGGAAAGTCACAGAGATAGGTAGAAAAACCGTAGAACCTCAAAACCCTAGTTGCTGTGAGGTAAAACCCTAGCTGTCGTATTGTAAAACCCTAGTTGACCCACCTCTCTTTTCGAGAGACCTATGGAGCTGATTAGATGTTGTACACTAATTTTCTTTTGTGCATCTATGAATGATCACCTCCAACAAAACTAGCTCATGGAAAATCTTCTCATTTTGCATTCCAAGACCTCTTCACGGCCAAAGTCCCAAAAACTCCCCAGAACCTTGCACAAAAGCCTATCACCATGCTGATGACGAACTGTAGCTTTTCACGTTTGCTGTCATCGTCCTCTCCTCCATCTCCACTTGGAACTTGAGGTGCTCCTTCATTGTTTTGATAACCAGTTGGTAATGGACAACCGCTAAGACCGGGGTTGCCCTCATAAATTGACGGGTCAACAAATGTGTTAAGCTCATAATTTCATACATATACATGCCCTATTTACTTACTTCTTTTGCTTAGTTTCTTAGATTTCTAAGTTATTTGCCTCCCTTTGTGTGTTTTGTAGGCAAATAGAGCAAGAGAGCATAATTCATGCAATTCAAGCATGTTAAGGCCTAATTTGGATGAATGGATGAAGAGCTTAAAAGACAAACTCATTTTGGCTACAGCCCCCTGCCA